TCATGAACGAAGTAAACGGAGGCCAAACTAATTTGCTAAAGCTTAAACATACATACATATCTTTCATGATAATCCTACTTAGAAAGAAATTATATCTACCTTCACAGTCTTATATTTCTGTATACTTAAATAGTTTTATTTAAATTTAATGTTAGTTAATATTTTAATGAATAGCAAATATTAAGACTAGATCATGTTAGAACTAAATGGCGCTGACATTAATTAATTATACATATAATAATTATTTTGAGAGATCATTCTAAAAACTCATAGTTACATATGTTGTCGAAGTAATAATACAAAATAATTACCGTTTTATTTAGTTTTATTATGTTATATTGAAAGTCTAATACAAGCTTAGAAATTAATATTTTGTTTGCTGATTTTTAAAACTTATGTTTATCAATATTATTAACATTTTCCTAAGAAACTTTCTTTAGATCTATATGTCGTTATCTTTCTTCATAAATGTACTTTAAATCGAAAAAATTCCGTCACAAATAAGGTTTATCTCAAATTGTATATACAAACCTACTCGCATTATTTTGTTTATAAACTAAATGGTATAGGAAAAGATTATTAAATGTATAAATATTATTCCTACTCCAAAGTGATGCTTAAAACGATTTTCTAATTTCTTCATATATACATATATAATATATAATGGCAATGATTGACTGTTATTTAATATTGTTCTCTATTTTAATATCTTTTCTGCTCAATTATTACTAAAATTTTACTATAGAAATTGAATTGTAATGATATTTAAAAATTAATAATAAATAAATTGATAGTGAATCTCTAGGTTTAATTATATATATAAAAATCATTTAGCAACATAATTTCGTTAATCTTCAACAGAAACGATAAATATGAAAAGAGAAAACACTATACAATTAAACATTCTGAAAATATACATTTATTAAACATTATATATATTTAGCTCGATTTACTTTCTAGTAATAAAATTCTATAGAAAACGTTTTACATAAAATTGATCATCATCGTCTTAGGAAAACATAAATTTATCTATGATTGTTAAACACAAAAGAAGATATTAAAATTTATTTACTTAATGTAATTCAAAATATTATTATTGTGCTATAAATTAACATTATAGGAAAGTTAAATCTTGAAACCAGTTTCTTTAACAACTACGTGTCAACAAACACTTCAGTTGTTGCATCTTATTAATTATTTAATATGTATTATCTATAATATTGTATTAAATAAAATTAACAAGCACTTGACATCTTGCAAATAGCTGCAAAATACGCGTATTGATTAAGAGAGACGCGGAGATGAAAAAAATCTGTACAAACCTTGTACATGATCTATTAAATCTATATCTGGTTCCAGCCGTACTATATGAAGCTAAAATTACACATGCCTCCGGTGAAAGGTTTACAGAAGCAACTTTTTTAAAGTTGGTAATTACAAAGAGAAGTGGAAAAACCTGAATCATATAAATGGGTTGAATAGACCGCAGTCCCATTTCTAATTAGCAACCGATTGAGAAAATGTGCAAACTTTTAACATGAATGAAAAATTTGACTACGATGCAATATGCATTTATTTGTTTGACTTAATATATTCATATAATTAATGTGTATAAACTAGTAAATTACAGACATTAGTCAAATACATTTTATTTAGTAAAATAGATCTGGAATCTGGATAAAAAATTATATATATAATAAATATATATAACAGTATATTATATAAAGCCATGTGCAAGTTAAAACCCTGGCAAGTCATGTTTTTCTAAAAGTGCAGTTTGTTAGTAGGGCACACACCGACATTGGGAAAGCGCAGATAACTCGTCACTCACTCGTCTTAGAAAGTGAGGTCTTGTCAAAATACATATTATGACGAATCTCAAGAAAGTCGCATGTTCTGTGCTATTTGTCTCCGTTGAAACAAATACGAGTATATTTTCAAGTATGATGTATAGCTATCAGGTTGCTTTATAAATCACGTCATAGTTGTGAGAGTATTGAACCGAAACTTTGATACTATATGATAAATTCTTTAATTCTAAAAACTCGAAAATAAACGCCTCATTCATTAAGATCTATGTTCAAGTGTAGAAGTATATTTTTAATTTAAACTCTCTTCTCAGCTAAATTGAAATGATTATGAGAAGCACTACTGCTTCATTTATTCTAAACTTAAAACCGCGTTAGCTGTTTAACATATAAATTAAAATGCTTACTTTCGTTTTAATACATTACCTTTTATAACCAAAAACTTAAAGTACACAAAATACGGTTGATTTTTAGAGCTGAAATTAAATTGTAGAAGCAAGTTGTGAGATTGTTCGAATTTAGAAGTGGCAAAAGTTTTGCTTCATTTCGTTTCGTGTGCCGGATAACGAGGCTTTAGAGATTTTGATCTTTCGTGATGAAATTTTCTCGAACACACTTTTCTTAACATTTTTATAACACATGAATATCAGTTTTATTATAAAAACATTCTACGGATATTGTTGAATAAAATTTAATAAAGTTTCAGGTACATATATTGAATCAGGTTTCTATATGAAATTCGAAATTAATTAAACATTACTTCCTCTAAATTTTGTATCAAAATCAAATCATTTTCTCTTTTTATAAAAAAAACACAATTAGGTAACTTACAAAAGAAAGATGTTAACATGATACAGAAGATGCGTTCTTACTTTGCTAAAGATAACTAAAAACTATATAAAATAATGTCGTTTGGTGTGAAACTCAATTCCCGAAGCACTTTTGTTTGACGAAAAACAATTTCCTGCCGGTTCCACTGAAACGTCATTTTCAATCATGTCAACGGGAAAATAGAGTTCGAAAAGTTTTACAGAAAAGTTCTGTTGAATTTCTATTTTTCCTTTGACGTTTTACAGGCTTTAGTTTTTTCAGGTGATATGTGATTCCACGGATCAAATCTTTATATCTAAAATGCATTGCAACTGTAGTGTCAGTTACTCAATAAAATATTTTACATTTTCACCCATTGCGACCTAGTTTTGTGAAATAAATCCCTTATCAGTAGGTAGCACGTAAACAAGCGATTTCTAGTTCAGCTTATCAACGAACTAATAGCCCGCTTGTATTGTAAGTGGGACGGCAAATCTTGCTTGAATAACGAATAAATCTAAAAGATTTACAGACCGAAGACAGAACGGTGTGTTAAATGCGAGATTATCTTTTATTCTTGTATGTATAAATATTTGTAGGCTGTGAAAATCCTATTTAAATTGCCTTATAACTTTAAATTATTATGCCTAGAAAGATATTAAGTCGGGATTAATTTTTTAATTAGGCAACACTGTAAACAACACAACTGAACCTTGAACTAGTTTTGTTTATACGATATTTGTATGAGGATTTTATTATGAGAAAATAGTTTCCAAAATGACGAAAGACATCGTAGATTAGATATTATTAAAAAAAAAAATATTGACAGAAATATATTATTATATTCTGATACCAAATACATAAATATGACAAGAAGTTTTTGCGTGATTTATTACCAAGCGTACTCACATACAGATATTGACATTTTAGTTATAATAAAGTTAGCAGAATATATCTTTATTATCGTGTAATGTTTTCTTAAAAGCTTTTACATACAAACTCAATAGACGTGAATTCAAATGATAATTAAAATATACTATCATATATATTTCAAACGGCTTCTGTATTTTCTGTGAGAGATGTTAAGTGACTATTAAATGAGAGAGAAAGTGTATTATATACGGTGTTTCTAATATGCAAACTTGTACCGTTTCTTTAATTAAATTGTTAAGAAAATAACGCCCACTATTTAATAGTCTCGGGTGCAGCAGAGCGTTTAATGATATATAGAATGGATTAAAACTACTTTTGCTTTTTGATAGTTAATATTTATTATTGTTATCGTGATTTTGTTAGGTATAGTCCGTGAGCGTTAAGCTGAGCTTAAGCTGTATAAGCCGGTTCAAAACTAGAAAAAGCACGTGGCATACACTAATTTGATATCATAAATACACTATCACAGCTCCGCTTATGCCTCGCGCACTATATTAAAATATATAATATCCATGTCATAATATTAGTTACCGTACTCCTCCGAAATAGCTTTACCGATTTTCACCAATTTTTATATGCGTATTCAGTAGCTCTGAGAATAAGCTACTATCTATTTTTCGAAACCCTGAATGATAAGGCTTGTTCACCCTTAAATATTTTTTTACTTTTTAAAAATTTTGACTTTTTAATCACTAAATCAAGGTAAATCACATAAAAAATGGTTAAGGACTTTTACTTTTCTCAACAGTTCTAAGCAGTCAGTTGTTATTGTTAATATCTTGTCTACTTAATATTTCCTATTTTATTATATGTATTTTATGTATATATTTATGTATGTATGTATTTAATATAGTATGTATTTAATATTTGTATATTTGTGTTATATATATATTTATTGTTATTTGTATTTAATTTGTATTTACCCTTCCACATTATTATCCTCTACCCAAAGGTTGCCTGGAAGAAATCGCTGTTTAGCGATAAGGCCGCCTGTTGCACATCATGCATTAGTAATATATAACGATAATGTATTTTTTTTAGTTTTAGTATGTTGTACAATAAAGTATAAATAAATAAATAAATAAATCCTATTTTTTTATATGGCAAAACAACGTTTGCCAGATCAGCTATATTCTTCTTCTATCTGGCAATTTCCCAGCTATAGCCAGGGTCTGCCTAAAATGTTGTGAATACTTTTGGCTATTTGTTTTTACGACCGGCCCGCCTGCCTGACATCAATCCTCTTTGGGAATGCATTAAACAGTGATGTCTAAATACTCTTAGAAAGTACATGTGACACGGAAAAATCACATTGGTACATGCCCGGGCCAGGATCGAACGTGCTTCCTCGGCAACGAGAGGCGGGCTCTTTAACCACTAGGCCACCACTGACTTAATATCAGCTATATTAGTTTGATATAATATTGTTTATTTTCAGGTGTGGTTGTGATGTCATGGTGGTTGTCACTGGCGCTGCTAGCGCTGTCCGCGCCCGCCCGCGCCACGCCTCGGGCCGGCCCTGGTGAGCTCTTTTACAGTAAGCATTCTTCATCACTGTTTCCATTTCCATACACCAAATATGCTGAAGTCTTCCTAGACCGTCTATCGTTGACTATTTGGTAATATTTTTCAGTTAAAAATATGTTTCGATACACCGTATACTTGATATTGAAGTATTCATGTATGCGCTTACTTAGGACTTTTTTATATTTTGTGACATAAACCTGATTGTACATTGCTTTCATTTCGATGCACAATTTACTTAACACTGATACTTATATCTGTATTTATTGCATACTGTCCGGAATTTTTTAAAGTAAGCAATACTATTTATACCTTTTTCTATTCAGAATAACTGCTATGTGTTATGGATTATTGAAGAAATTTTGAATTCTACTTCTAATTAGTAATCTCGTTTTTTTACTGTATCTCATACATATGTTTAAATTGCTCGATAAACATAATTTTCGTCTTATTGTACAGTGTATGTGCTACTGACACTATCTTGGGGTGTTATAAAGTTAGACAGTCTCGTTAAGTAATTTTACAGTAAGCAGTCTCACGACATCACTTTCATTTCTTTATCACCGTATGTTAAAGGTACTCAGTGTATCGTAAATCTTACCTACAAAGTGTTTTATGTTAAGACGTATTACTAAATTAGTTTTTTATTGTGCCACAGACATTTATTATAACAAATATAAATTAGCTTAAATTAATATTTATAGCTTCTAGAGCGTATGTTAATAAATAATTCTGTTCGAAAATAAAAAGATTTTTTTAAGTAAACTTTAATTAGATATAATATAGATTAATTGAATCAATTGTGATGTTTTGTGAAACGATTCTCTTTTTAAGAGAAACAGCTCAAAATTATATGGTATATATTTTTAACTAAAGTGCATATTTAATGTTAACTAATTTTTTATACCTTCAGAATCAAATGTATTTTAAGCTTTATTTAAAAGTTAATATTCATAGTTCTTGTAGATTTATACAATATTTGTATTGTAGCATTTCTATTTATTTATTGGTTTATATTTCGAATGGTACTGAAGTGCTTTGATATATTTCGTGAAAGTAATTGACATGAGAGGCGTTGATAGATCGATTATACGAAGCGAAAGTTGAGTTATTCGAGTTTTGTGTGTCTCAAAATAGATATTTACATTCAGTCTTGTTTAAAAGCGATCTGTGAATTTTATATTTGATAAAAAAATGAATGTTATGTGTAACATAACAAAAAATATTGCTGTGGCTGAAAAGATAAAAATGTCACGTAAGTCATTGCGTCCCCGTTTTTTTTTTATATAAAAATGCTACGTCCTGCTGCTTTCTTTGAATAATTTATCACATTAAACATGAGTGTATATATCAAGCGTACAAACATTTTTGCTTGAAATTTACATATATTAGCATCTTTTCATATTTTGTTTTATTCCAATCCATATAAATTTCAGATTTATGGGATTCATGTCACTTTTTTGTATTATCAATTCATTTGGCAGTTTCGTAGTAAGTTTCACTTAAGTTTATGATTAATATTAAATATTTAGAGATTAAATTTTATAGATTTAACGTAAATTCAAGAATTTTCATCTTCTTCCTGGTTTTGCTTAATATTGAAATGATATAAATATTGTATTATTCTTTCTCTGTGATAATAAAAAGAACTATTGACAAATAAAAGGATAAAAGTAATTTATGGATAGTAACAATGTTGTTCAATATTACCCCTTACATTACGTACGGATACATTACCCATAAACTCTGTTTATATGGGGTTGTTTATAACTCAAGGCGATCCACCTACAGCTTTAAAGAATTTGATAGCCTTTTAACACTTTGGATTGAATTGAAATCTGGCAGCGATTGCGGTGGCTTGAAAATATATCGGTCTCCTTTAAAATGAGAAAGACTTATATTTACAAAATACTATTTTTAGTTTACAGGACAGCTGTTTAAGATAAAATTATTTTAAATACGTCTTAATCAATACATACTTTCTCTCAAGGATACAAAGAAAGGGCGTAATAAATTAAATAACAAAGTACCATAGAAATTAAATTATGCGAATAACTATACTAACGTCATAATTGAATCACGGGAAATGTATTTACATTCTCTGCACACCTGGACAAACAAATTTGCTCTTTTCTAATAACCCTTCAAGAGAATTAGCGTTACATATACCCGGGCCTACAAGACCCGTTATATACCGCGTACCGGTGTAATGGCCTTTGGGGATTATAAGTTGTGATACATTGCAGGGTTATGACGTATTAAGAAAACCTTTTGGAGATGATGTGTGGCCGGGATGTGCTTGCTTTATAAGGGTAATGTTAAAGGGCATCTTGTTCATTTTCTTTTCATTACGTATTAAATATTTCGGTACAATATGTCTGTAGTTTCTCATATAAGAAAACGAAAGTATGAAGGTATATAATGCATTTGAAAGATTAGTGTTCTTGTAAGAGATTTTCTTTTTATTAATTAGGATTTAAAATCAGTACAGTGTGTAGCTAAGCGCTTTCGCTGAGCATTAATAAAAGCTCATAGCCTTTGCTCTGGGCATAACTTTTACTTTTTAACGCCATTCAAGCCCTACAAGGTCACGAAAGTGAATTTATTAACCCGTAAGCGTCAATGAGAGAAACATTTCACTTTCATACAATTATATAGCAGGTGTTACAAGAGCTCACAATGTTAATTTGGATTTTGTTTCAAAACTGTTTTTAATATTCATTTCTATATAACAGAAATTGTTACGTAAAATCTTACAAAAGGCGAAACTTTCGAAATTCAACATGACAAAGCCACCAATTTACGATTATACCTGGAACGAATGCGAGCATATTTTTAATGTACAATAAAAGTCAAAGTAACACCTTTTTTACGATGTGTAAATTCTGTACCTTAAGTGGAGCGTTTGTTTTAGTGTTTATAAAAAGAAATAGTCGTCTTTTTTTGGCAATAAAACGGTATAATACACTCATTCCTTTAAAAAATATGTTCATTGTTTCGATGTTTTTTACGTATATATGTATATACATATGCATTTTATAGTTTTGATCTAAAAATATTGCAATTTCCATATAATGATTTACAAATATTAAGCTGAATAAAATTTACAATACTTACGGCTATTGTATTTTGAATAAGAATTAAAAGGTATTGTAAATAGAAATGAATTATTAAAAGAAAAATGAATTATTAAAAAAATGAATTATTATCTGTCAATAAAAATTTTGTTTGATATATAAGAGTAATATAAAGATTATAATGCTGATATTTTTCTTTTCTCAGATATGTCGTATATATTTCTTGTGATTAATAATTAATAACTTCTAAATTATTTACTAATGAGTTATTTGTGTCCTATTTAATTATTATCCATTCATTTCTCAAAAATGGTAGTGAGGTTCAGTTTAGATTTAAATAACTGTTTCAATACATATGTTATATTTATACAAATGAAATTTATATGTACTTTCAGCCAGTTAAGGAAATCTGCTCTTAAATAGTCCTAATCAAACATAAATATATAAATCTTTTTAAGTGGTCTGAATGTATGCTAAGTGGACATCTGCAACTCGATGTTTATGTGTTCTAGATCGAAAAACCTGGAAAAGGCCAAGTTTGGATATAGAGAAATTGGAAGTGCTTTGAGAACTAGGTCACTTACGTGTTAATAGTTATACAAACTGACAAACCAGCTTATATCAATGTCAATAGTGAGATTTGTGCCTTTAACCTTATATTAATAAAGATCATACCACAACAGATATATATCAATTTGTTTGTGGCTATTTACGTACTACATCAAAAATCTCTTCTAAACAAAATAGTATTTTCTTAGTAAAATATGTATAAATGTCATATAATGTATGTTTTCTTCGAGTAATTTGTGATTCCAGCTTTCTTTGTTAATTTTATATAAACTTTATTTTTTAAGTAACACATGTAGTGGTGTACACAGGTTGTTAATTTTTTTTAAGTTGTAATGATATTGTATACATTTCACATTAGTACCATGTCGTATATAATGAGATCTAAGACTTTCGCGAGTACTCATTTAAATGAAAATAATAGATATTTTATTATTTTAAGAAATACGAACTCCCGAATTTTAGGTTACATTTCAGCAACAGTGATCACGGTTAAATACGCGTAGTAATCCAAAAAAATATTAATTTAATTTAAATGTATTTACTTTATTAATCCAATTTATTGTCACTCAAGACAAGGATGTCCCATTGATATATTGAATTCATCGTACTCATTTGCTTTACGAAGTGCACATGTCATAGTGCATTGTTATCTCACGCTACATCCATCACCTAACATGAAGGGCCGGTCAATTGTGGGTCGCATCAATTCCCATCTGCAAACAGTTTCACCGTCATGAAAGTTGAACTCGCATCCATCATGGGATGATTTAGACGAAACCAGTTGCATGATCGCTTGTTTTGGTGTTGTAAAGCGAAAGTCGTTTTCTTTCATCTCATTTTGATGTTTTGAAAATGACTTGTAATATTGTTTTGTTTATACGTCTCATCAAACAACTGTTTGGAAAATAATAAAGAAGTTATACAAGGTTTTCAGTTACATGATTATAAATTAAACTTATGATTAATAGATGTGTAAGTTTTAGATGGAAAGAGTTTCTCAAATTTCAAAGTTATAGAGATGCAACTCTCGCCATTTACAAACTAGTATGTATTGCTTAGAACTTTACACTGTCTGGTATCTTGTTTTCTTCTTGTTTTGTGTCTTAATGGTATGCTATTTAATATTACACTTGACACTATCCTACTATCCCACTAATAATATAAATGGGAAAGTACGTCTGAATTAATACGTTTGTATTTAATATACAGTAATTGAAAAAATATTAAAAATAAATTGATTGTATTTGTAGTTATTGTAGTTTTAGAGAAACTTGTAATAATCCGATGTAAGGTCTATAAATTTCGGTTTCTTATAGATAAATTTGATAAGCGGAGCAGTGAAATTATATCTATAAACAAAAATACG